ATGGCCCTCTATCAGAATCCAGAGTTTTGGGAAGATTGGAGAAACTTAATTTTTCGCCCAAAAAAAAAACGTAAGGGGTACCACTGTCGTTTTTTTTCGGGCCGAATTTTTGAGTTTCGATATCTCAGCTCTGGAAGGGGCTAGAGCCTCCATTTTTGCACTCAGGTCTAAGTCTCATGGCCCTCTATCAGAATCCAGAGTTTTGGGAAGATTGGAGAAACTTAATTTTTCGCCCAAAAAAAAAACGTAAGGGGTACCACTGTCGTTTTTTTTTTCGGGCCGAATTTTTGAGTTTCGATATCTCAGCTCTGGAAGGGGCTAGAGCCTCCATTTTTGCACTCAGGTCTAAGTCTCATGGCCCTCTATCAGAATCCAGAGTTTTGGGAAGATTGGAGAAACTTAATTTTTCGCCCAAAAAAAAACGTAAGGGGTACCACTGTCGTTTTTTTTTCGGGCCGAATTTTTGAGTTTCGATATCTCAGCTCTGGAAGGGGCTAGAGCCTCCATTTTTGCACTCAGGTCTAAGTCTCATGGCCCTCTATCAGAATCCAGAGTTTTGGGAAGATTGGAGAAACTTAATTTTTCGCCCAAAAAAAAAAAACGTAAGGGGTACCACTGTCGTTTTTTTTTTCGGGCCGAATTTTTGAGTTTCGATATCTCAGCTCTGGAAGGGGCTAGAGCCTCCATTTTTGCACTCAGGTCTAAGTCTCATGGCCCTCTATCAGAATCCAGAGTTTTGGGAAGATTGGAGAAACTTAATTTTTCGCCCAAAAAAAAAAACGTAAGGGGTACCACTGTCGTTTTTTTTTCGGGCCGAATTTTTGAGTTTCGATATCTCAGCTCTGGAAGGGGCTAGAGCCTCCATTTTTGCACTCAGGTCTAAGTCTCATGGCCCTCTATCAGAATCCAGAGTTTTGGGAAGATTGGAGAAACTTAATTTTTCGCCCAAAAAAAAAACGTAAGGGGTACCACTGTCGTTTTTTTTTCGGGCCGAATTTTTGAGTTTCGATATCTCAGCTCTGGAAGGGGCTAGAGCCTCCATTTTTGCACTCAGGTCTAAGTCTCATGGCCCTCTATCAGAATCCAGAGTTTTGAGAAGATTGGAGAAACTTAATTTTTCGCCCAAAAAAAAAAACGTAAGGGGTACCACTGTCGTTTTTTTTTTCGGGCCGAATTTTTGAGTTTCGATATCTCAGCTCTGGAAGGGGCTAGAGCCTCCATTTTTGCACTCAGGTCTAAGTCTCATGGCCCTCTATCAGAATCCAGAGTTTTGAGAAGATTGGAGAAACTTAATTTTTCGCCCCAAAAAAAAAACGTAAGGGGTACCACTGTCGTTTTTTTTTCGGGCCGAATTTTTGAGTTTCGATATCTCAGCTCTGGAAGGGGCTAGAGCCTCCATTTTTGCACTCAGGTCTAAGTCTCATGGCCCTCTATCAGAATCCAGAGTTTTGAGAAGATTGGAGAAACTTAATTTTTCGCCCAAAAAAAAAAACGTAAGGGGTACCACTGTCGTTTTTTTTTCGGGTCGAATTTTTGAGTTTCGATATCTCAGCTCTGGAAGGGTCTAGAGCCTCCATTTTTGCACTCAGGTCTAAGTCTCATGGCCCTCTATCAGAATCCAGAGTTTTGAGAAGATTGGAGAAACTTAATTTTTCGCCCCCAAAAAAAAAACGAAAGGGGTACCACTGTTTTTTTTTTTCGGGCGAAATTTTTGAGTTTCGATATCTCAGCTCTGGGAAGGTCTAGAGCCTCCATTTTTGCACTCAGGTCTAAGTCTCATGGCCCTCTATCAGAATTCAGAGTTTTGAGAAGATCGGAGAAACTTAATTTTTCGCCCGAAAAAAAAAATGTAAGGGGTACCACTGTCGTTTTTTTTTCGGGTCAAAAGTTTGAGTTTCGATATCTCAGCTCTGGGAAGGTCTAGATCCTCCATTTTTGCACTCAGGTCTAAGTCTCATGGCCCTCTATCAGAATGCAGAGTTTTGAGAAGATCGGAGAAACTTAATTTTTCGCCCAAAAAAAAAAACGAAAGGGGTACCACTGTCGTTTTTTTTTCGGGTCGAAAGTTTGAGTTTCGATATCTCAGCTCTGGGAAGGTCTAGAGCCTCCATTTTTGCACTCAGGTCTAAGTCTCATGGCCCTCTATCAGAATTCAGAGTTTTGAGAAGATCGGAGAAACTTAATTTTTCGCCCGAAAAAAAAACGAAAGGGGTACCACTGTCGTTTTTTTTTCGGGTCGAAAGTTTGAGTTTCGATATCTCAGCTCTGGGAGGGTCTAGAGCCTCCATTTTTGCACTCAGGTCTAAGTCTCATGGCCCTCTATCAGAATCAGAGTTTTGAGAAGATGGAGAAATTTAATTTTTCGCCCGAAAAAAAACCCGAAAGGGGTACCACTGTCTTTTTTTTTTTTGGGTCGAAAGTTTGAGTTTCGATATCTCAGCTCTGGGAGGGTCTAGAGCCTCCATTTTTGCACTCAGGTCTAAGTCTCATGGCCCTCTATCAGAATGCAGAGTTTTTAAGAAAAACGGAGAAACGTAATTTTTCGCCTCCCAAAAAAAACGAAAGTGGTACCACTGTCGTTTTTTTTTTTCGGGTCGAAAGTTTGAGTTTCGATATCTCAGCTCTGGGAAGGTCTAGAGCCTCCATTTTTGCACTCAGGTCTAAGTCTCATGGCCCTCTATCAGAATTCAGAGTTTTGAGAAGATCGTAGAAACGTAATTTTTCGCCCGAAAAAAAAAACGAAAGGGGTACCACTGTCTTTTTTTTTTTGGGTCGAAAGTTTGAGTTTCGATATCTCAGCTCTGGGAAGGTCTGGAGCCTCCATTTTTGCACTCAGGTCTTAGTCTCATGGCCCTCTATCAGAATGCAGAGTTTTGAGAAGATCGGAGAAACTTAATTTTTCGCCACTAAAAAAAAAACGAAAGGGGTACCACTGTCGTTTTTTTTTCGGGTCGAAAGTTTGAGTTTCGATATCTCAGCTCTGGGAGGATCTAGAACCTCCATTTTTGCACTCAGGTCTAAGTTCATGGCCCTCTATCAGAATGCAGAGTTTTGAGAAGATCGGAGAAACTTAATTTTTCACCCGAAAAAAAAAAAACGAAAGGGGTACCACTGTCGTTTTTTTTTCGGGTCGAAAGTTTGAGTTTCGATATCTCAGCTCTGGAAGGGTCTAGAGCCTCCATTTTTGCACTCAGGTCTAAGTCTCATGGCCCTCTATCAGAATGCAGAGTTTTGAGAAGATCGAAGAAACTTAATTTTTCGCCCGAAAAAAAAAAACGAAAGGGGTACCACTGTCGTTTTTTTTTCGGGTCGAAAGTTTGAGTTTCGATATCTCAGCTCTGGGAAGGTCTAGAGCCTTCATTTTTGCACTCAGGTCTAAGTCTCATGGCCCTCTATCAGAATGCAGAGTTTTGAGAAGATCTAAGAAACTTAATTTTTCGCCCGAAAAAAACAAAACAAAAGGGGTACCACTGTCATTTTTTTTCGGGTCGAAAGTTTGAGTTTCGATAACTCAGCTCTGGGAAGGTCTAGAGCCTCCATTTTTGCACTCAGGTCTAAGTCTCATGGCCCTCTATCAGAATGCAGAGTTTTGAAAAGATCGGAGAAACTTCATTTTTCGCCCCAAAAAAAAAAAAACGAAAGGGGTACCACTGTCGTTTTTTTTTTCGGGTCGAAAGTTTGAGTTTCGATATCTCAACTCTGGGAAGGTCTAGAGCCTCGATTTTGCACTCAGGTCTAAGTCTCATGGCCCTCTATCAGAATTCAGAGTTTTGAGAAGATCGGAGAAACCTAATTTTTCACCCGAAAAAAAAAAAAAAAACGAAAGGGGTACCACTGTCGTTTTTTTTTTTTGTTTCGGGTCGAAAATTTGAGTTTCGATATCTCAGCTCTGGGAGGATCTAGAGCCTCCATTTTTGCACTCAGGTCTAAGTCTCATGGCCCTCTATCAGAATGCAGAGTTTTGAGAAGATCGAAGAAACTTAATTTTTCGCCCGAAAAAAAAAAAACGAAAGGGGTATCACTGTCGTTTTGTTTTCGGGTCGAAAGTTTGAGTTTCGATAACTCAGCTCTGGGAAGGTCTAGAGCCTCCATTTTTGCACTCAGGTCTAAGTCTCATGGCCCTCTATCGTAATTCAGAGTTTTGAGAAGATCTGAGAAACTTAGTTTTTCGCCCGAAAAAAAAACCCGAAAGGGGTACCACTGTCGTTTTTTTTTCGGTTCGAAAGTTTGAGTTTCGATATCTCAGCTCTGGGAGGGTCTAGAGCCTCCATTTTTGCACTCAGATCTAAGTCTCATGGCCCTCTATCAGAATGCAGAGTTTTGAGAAGATCGGAGAAACTTAATTTTTCGCCCGAAAAAAAAAACAAAAAACGAAAGGGGTACCACTGTCGTTTTTTTTTTCGGGTCGAAAGTTTGAGTTTCGATATCTCAGCTCTGGGACGGTCTAGAGCCTCCATTTTTGCACTCAGGTCTAAGTCTCATGGCCCTCTATCAGAATGCAGAGTTTTGAGAAGATCGGAGAAACTTAATTTTTCACCCAAAAAACAAAAACAAAAGGGGTACCACTGTCGTTTTTTTTTCGGTTCGAAAGTTTGAGTTTCGATATCTCAGCTCTGGAAGGGTCTAGAGCCTCCATTTTTGCACTCAGGTCTAAGTCCCATGGCCCTCTATCAGAATCCAGAGTTTCAAATAGGTACCCAATAGGTAGTCTGTCCACTCAATAGTTTAAGTATTAGAATGGTTGTTTGTTGTTGCTGCTAAATAGTTTGGAGCATTCTTCATGCATTACTTTAATACTGATACACTAAAAAGATGATCCACTCCTGTTCATTTTATTATAATAATGTGTTTTCCTTGCATAATTTCTGCCATGCTGTCCTTATTTTTTCTGAAACATTTGCAATATGAACTTGCCTCCATACTCTTCCTGATGCATTCCATTGTGCTGCCTTTAATGTCTCATGAGCATTAAAAAATACTTAAAAAACAATCGAGTATAATAGTTTCTCAAAGATTCCATCCAAGAGTTTATTTGCATTTATTGACATGTTTCGTTTTTGCAAGGTTTATTTTAGAATCGCATTCCAAAAGATTTTGATTTGAAGTTTTATAAATACATTTTGTCTTGAGTTTTGTGAAATCAAAAAAAAAAGTGTATTTAACAGTAACGAATACTGTTGACAGTATAACATTGACAGTCAAATGCAACAAATAACATTCTATACAAGCAGACACTTCTAAGTGAAGGGATAGTAAAAAAAAAATTAACATACAGTATCAATCTAAAAACAGTGCTGACTCTAAATAATCAATGAGCCATGTGGGGGGGAAAAAGATGAACAAATTTAGACTTGGTATTTGGTACCCCAGTGGTGCTCTAACATTCTTATAAAACAGTGCTTTTCTCTCCTACTACCGTATGTCTCACATTTGCCCATTTCAATTAATAAAGGTTGAAAATACTAGTAAGGTAGTTTTTTTTTTTTTTTGTTTGTTTTTTTGTAAATTGCCCTATCAATTCATAAAGGCTAAAATCCTTTAAAAATAATGTTTTAGTCTTTTGTCAATTTAATTGAATTAGAAATCTGTTCTTTCCCATTGCAGTTTTCGTATAAAGTAGACTGTATTAACCGACTACAAAGTGGAATTTGTATTAACTTGTATTATCCACACTAGCAAACACAAGTAAAAGCCAATCAATGAATGCATCACAACAGACATTGTGTAAAGCAGCAACTGAACAGATGTAACATACAGGAGGCTTTAAAGGCAGTATGTGTTTAGTTCTCTTATGTCCTACGTGAAATATTGCGTAATGGGGGCAGGAAGTCATGGTGCAGTTCTGTCAGAAAGGTTTCACTCTTGGGTTTTGGGATTGGCCACAGCATCTGCAAGAAGCTCAGGTCGGAGACATTCGATTGGGCATTGAATGTTCTGGAAGAACAAAGGGGGAAATATGTTATACAATGAAAACCAGAACTATTTACATCTATAAATTGAACCTTGGCAATGCAGTGTTCATTGCACATTTAGCAAATACATAATGGGTACATTCCCAGCTTGAAAAACTAAAGATATTTTGTGTGGCCATTTGAAATGTTTGAATGAATTAAGGAAGATACCCACCATCCTGTGGCCGTTGTTTAAGCGGACAGGTTTCAGCAGCTCGGAGGTTATCTCAGCACCAGGCTTTCTGCAATTCTCACAGCGCCAACCCTAAGAGCAACATGTACACAATGCATTTAATCAGACTCAAGCGTAAACACCCTCTGTGAGCTCTCATTTCTCTTTGAAGGACCTTTTCTACTTGTTTTTAAAGGGGTGGTAAAATGCCATTTTCACAAGATGTAAAATAAATCTCCGATGTCCCCAGAGTGTGTTTGTGAAGTTTTAGCACAAAATACCCCACATGTATTTTTATATAGCATGTTGAATTTGTCACTTTTTTAGGGTTTGCAAAAGCGCACTGTTTTGTGTCTGGCCCTTTAAATGCAAATGAGCTGCTGCAGAGGGCGGGTTTCAAGAGCTCCTGTGTGTTAGCAGCTGCGATTACCTCACGCAGACACACTAAAATGTCAGAAACTGTTCTGCCTTTAATGTTAAAACAGAGTCAAAGATGGAGAGACACAATCCCGCCTGCAATCTATTGAATGGGGATTTGGGCCGTGTATTTTTTGGACATTTTAATTAAATCAGCTCAGCTCTGGAAGGGTCTAGAGCCTCCATTTTTGCACTCAGGTCTAAGTCCCATGGTCATCTATCAGAATCCAGAGTTTCAAGAGGATTGGAGAAACTTATTTTTTCGCACAAAAAAAACAAAACAAAAAACGAAAGGGGTCCCATTGTTGTTGTTGTTGTTGTTGTTTTTTCGGGTCGAAATTTTGAGTTGCTCTGATCTTCTTGAAACTTTGGATTCTGATATAGGGCCATGCGACTTAGATCTGAGTGCAAAAATGGAGGCTCTAGACCCTTCCAGATCTGAGATATTGGGATATTTATAATGGCATAAATGCTACGTGAGATCTCAATATCTCAGCGCTGGAAGGGTCTAGAGCCTCCATTTTTGCACTCAGGTCTAAGTCCCATGGCCCTCTATCAGAATCCAGAGTATCAAGAAGACCTGAGAAACTCATTTTTTCACACACAAAAAAAGGAAAGGGTGCTGTCGTTACTGTCGTTTTTTTTCGGGTCGAAATTTTGAGTTGCTCTGATCTTCTTGAAACTCTGGATTCTGATAGAGGGCCATGGGACTTAGATCTGAGTGCAAAAATGGAGGCTCTAGACCTTCCCAGAGCTGAGATATTGAGATCCCACGTAGCATTTATGCCATTATAAAAATAGTGGGTTCATGGACGGTGGAATTATGGGATGGCGCTTGGTGCTGTGGACTCAGGGACCCCAGCTGAGTGCAGTAAAATAGTTTTTATCATGAAAAGAAAAACTTTAATTAAAATGTCCAAAAAATACACTACCCAAATCCCCATTCAATAGATTGCAGGTAGGATTCTGTCCATTTGTAGCTTATTGCATGAAGGCCAGGGTTAGTACATTTCGAAAAATAGTGGGTTATTGGAAAAATAGTGGCCAGAGTGTGGGGGAGGGGGGTCTACGGCACTTTTGGTAAATATAGCGGGTTATTGGACAAATAGGGGTTCCGTGGGATAGGGGCGTGGCCCGGGAGTGTGGGCGTGGGTCTACGGCCCTTTTGGTAAATATAGTGGGTTATTGGACAAATAGTGGGTTCGTGGGACGGAGGCGTAGCCCGGGAGTGAGCGGGGTGGTCCTGTGACATTTGGTAAATATAGTGGGTTATTGGACAAATAGTGGGTTCGTGGGACGGAGGCGTAGCCCGTGAGTGGGCGGGGGGGTGGTCCTGTGACATTTGGTAAATATAGTGGGTTATTGGACAAATAGTGGGTTCATGGGACAGGGGCATGGCCCGGGAGTGGCTGGGCGCTCTCTGGCGCCAACTAGAGGCGTCCAAATAACCCCTATCCCATGCGAATCAAGTCCCGATCCGTTAAATCGAGGGTAGTCCTAAATGTCCCACTCCCCACCAAGTCTATAGGAGAGTGGGCATCCCACGAACTCCCACGATCCCTCGGGGCCATTATGTGACCAATGGCAGCTTATTAATATGGGCTTTTGTCCATGAACCCCTGGTTTGGACTAACTAAAGTTAGAAAAGTGAAATCATACTTTACCACCCCTTTAAATTTACTTTTTACAAGTTGTCCATGCATATGTGAATTAAATAGTTAATACCTGCTGTCCTCCATAGCATGTGCAAGTGCAGATTGCCCCCAAGTATTCCTTCTGCCATTGGTTTCCAACCTGGTACATCTTTCCGTCATCGTAACATATGGACTCATCTATAACGAAATTTAAGAATTTTTTATTCCACTGCTTGGAACTGAAGAAACTTGACTATGCAGTAGAAGAAGGACTTACGTGGTTCACACTTGAACTCTCCTTTACCATTGCCAAGGCAAGAGCAGCTCATCAAGTGACCGTTTTCTGCCCGTCGCTCCCACTTTTCACCAATGCGGTAGTTGTTTCCACTATCGTGACACCATTCTGTGTAAAAACAGGCATTCAGAGTGCTTTTGATGGACAGGATTCCCTTCAGGATAAAATTCACCATCGACCTTCAGGTTTGAAGTTACTCACTGGAAGAGTCACATCTGAAATGTCCACTTCCCAGGCCAAGACATCTGCACCAGAGTTTGAAGCCAGTCTCAGACATACGCTCCCATTCCTCTCCAACATCATGGTGAGTGGCGGTGAAGGTGTCATAACATGAGTCCTTGCTGGATGAAACATCTCCTGGTACTGTTGATTTGATAGGGAACACAATAAAGAAACATTTAAGGCATAAGCATCATAAGGCATAAACTTTCATCAATGTTCCTTCAAAGATCCTTTCTCGACCTGTGTTTCCAGCGGTGATGATTTCCTCCAAAATCTTGTGTTTGAGGGCTCCTTTCAAGGCCTCCACTATGACATTATAAGAGGCACCAGAGGTGAGACCAATCAGGGTGGCACTTGTGGACGTTTCCGGGAAACGCATCTGCAAAACAAGAAAAGGTCAATCTTAAGAGCAAATGTAAGGTGATGAAGAAATTTGGTAACTTATCCTGTTTTTACCTGGAACAACTTCTCATCTTGATGGGTAATGGGCTGACAAGACACCAGATAACCAGAACTCTGCTGGTAGGGCTGCCATGAGATGGTGGTCTGGGTCTGGGCCTCTTGCGGTCTTCCTGTCCTGTCCTCTGAAAAAACAAAAGGATGGCCATCGCCAGGCTTCTCATTAACCTGAATAATCTGAGGTACACGACTCCCATCGGGTCCCACCTTAGGGATGTATACTAGGGTCTCCCCAACTTGAGGCACATAAGGCTGGGGTCGGGGTTGGTTAGGTTGACGATGTTGAGGCTGGTAGCCTCTGTTGGGTTGACTGGGCTGATTATTGAATTCTGTGTACTCCACGTGCTGCCCGTGTGCATCAGGTGATTCATGCCCAGTGGGACCCACTACGTGAACTCTGTTGTCAGGCTCAGGCACATCCAGCTTGTCTATGCCGCCATGGTGAGGCAGGCTAGGCAGATCAGAAGTCAGCTCTGGGCGGGAAAAAGGTGTTAAAAGCAAAGCAGCAGGTCAAGAGGCAGCCAGAGTTGCATCTACAGTCCAGTAAGGCATTGAAAGTCGAGCAATGACAGTACTTGCTGACATTTGACTTTAAAGGGGGAGTGGGTCCAAGTATTTTCTCAAACCAATGTTTTGCAATTAAACAGTGAGGAGGAAGTGCATATGATTATACCAACCAGTTGAGAGTCTAAATATCAAAACAAAGATACTTTGCATCAAGTTTGGTTTGGATATGGTGTAAGGCTAAGAAAATACAGTCCAAAGTATACACTTCTCCTCAGAGTGAAAATATTGGCCAAGTGAGATTAAATATTCAGTATGGACCAGCCCTTTAAACACAGATCAAGGTTTTTGATCATAGTAGTCCTCTGAGAGAACACTTTGCTTGAATCAACAAGGTAATAAGCTAGCAAGTGTGTCAAATAAGCAACATTAAATGCAATTTTTCCTTCATTTTGCATTTCAGTGCTAAATGCATTTCACCATTAAAAAGCTAAGCATTGCAACTAAGAAAAAATATGGCTTAGCCAAGTATCTTTTACTAGTAAAAGGCAAGCGAGTGCAATATCAAAGCTTTTATATATATAGCGTTGGCTATAGTTTAACAAAATGTGTTCTATTCGGCAACAAAGCATGATGGAGTACACCTTATGTATCAATTTGTGGATTGACAATTTACATTTATTCATTAAGCAGATGTTTTGATCCTTACAAATGAGGAAAATCAATGTTTTTATATGAGCAAACACTTACGAGTTGTGGCTGTGCCAACCAGTGGTGCACTTCTCTGGGTATTCATCAGGGCAATGATCTTAATGATGTATTCGGTGCCTGGTTTCAGACCTGTATTTAAAATGTCACAATATGGACACATTTTTAAGTTTTCTAACATCGATGTATACCACATGTGGGTGTAACGTGATGCATTCTGGGTCTTACCAGTGATGGTGGCATAGTTCTGGCCAGCGTTAAGACGTGGAAGCTCACGAAGCTGACCACCTGATTCTTCATAAGTGATGTAATATCCTGTAATTTGTGTTGGGGGGGCTTGCCAAGTAAATGTGATGGAATTGGGGGTCAGGGAGGTGAACTGAAGGTCGGTAGGAGGCTGAACAGCTGGCCGAGCTGTGATGATATAAAGTTGATAAAGGTCATTCTGGGACTTCATGCATTAGCATTAATACGGTGTATTACTCTTCCCACATGGACAAATTTGCTTAGTTGTACCTGTGGTTACAGTCAATGTGAATGGAGGGGATCGACTATTTCCATTCAGAGTGTACATGTTGACCACATACAAGACACCTGGCTGCAAACCTGAAGTATGAATTCATATTATTTCGTTAAACAGCAATACTCAAAAACATGGTAAAAGAAGTTCTGAAATCATTCTTTATCTATTCTAAACCAACATTAAAATATTTACCATGTTAATGCTATAGATTTTGGACAATCCCATAATGGTAATATCATGGTATTCTTTGAAGTAACTTGCCAAAGAAGTTCATAATTCCAGGTTTAGTTTACTCATTGAGCTGACAGTGGTTAACCATCAATGTTGAAACTGATGGCCTATAAGGTGTAACTTGGATTATGTACATTAGCTTACCAGTGACAACGTAGGTTAGTGTGTTTTCAGGAACAGTTTGTCTGACGGTGGGGTATCCTCCATTTTTGGGTGTGGCTTCAATATAGAAACCTGTATTTGGCTCATTATTAACAATGCGCCATGTAAGAGTGAATGAGGTGTCTTTCACATCAGTGACACGGACTCTGCGAGGAGGGGTTATATCTGTGGAGCCAAAGAGATTATAGCTTCCATTTAATACAGGATACCAATACTAAAAAAAATCCCTCTATAATCCATATAATGGGAAACCCACTTACTGTCTGCAGTGGTGCATTCTCCAGTGAGAGGAGGACTACTGTCTGAACCCCTCAGTGCATAGACATGTACATCATAAGGGGTGGCCACCTGGAAGTAAACAGCAGATATTTAAGACTAAAGTGGATTAGTCATCATGATTGGTTAAACATGGCAAATGCTTTGACTCATTTTCTTATGACTTCTTATTTGCTACTGTAAAGCGTGAGAAGGTAGACATATTACCATAAGCCCGGGCACTAAGACTTGTGTAGAGTCAGGTGAAACATTCATTTCTTTGGGTGTGGGATACTGGTTCTTTGGGGTGACCACCACACGGTAGCCAGAAAGTCTGCCCCTGGGTGCCTGCCATGCCACAATAAAGGAAGATGGGCTGATATCGTGGAACTGGATATTGGTCGGAGCAGGAACAGCTGAGAAAGGTGTTAGGACAAAAATCAAGAAAGATCCCCTATAACACTCACTTACTAGCTTAAAAATCTAAGCTGGATTACAATATGCCATACCAGTGGGCTGAGTCTCCTCGTGGGTAGTGTGCTGAATACCCTCAAGGGTACGGACTGGGTAACGTCCTTTCATGGGAATGACTTTAACATTGTACTTGGTTCCTGGGCGCAGACCCTGAAGAACCACACTGTTATCACGACCACTTAGGGCTGGTTGGTACTCTCGTTCTCCCTCCTCTGGACTTGAGTACAGAACCCTATAGGAGGTCACTCCTGGAACCCGTGGAACATCCCATGTCACAAGCATGGAGGTGGAGTCCACATCAGAGAAGGTCAGGTCTCTTGGATGCTGCACATTGGCTAGAGATTGGAAAGGGAAGTGTTAAGAGTATAGGGTGGTTTAGCATAGTTGCCAGAGCTCAGCACTATTAACTAAAAGGATGCTGGTTCAAATCCCGCAAGAAACAAGTAATGAACCATTGACCCCTTGAGCAAGACACTTATCTTCAGGTTATTCCAGTAGACAAGTTATACCTGGACTGATTTCAAATGTTAAAAAGTTCAAGAAGATATAAAAAAAACCACAAACCTGTTGTAGCTTTCTGGACCACTGGGGTGCTCTCTCCTTCCCGGCTGATAGCAACCACATTAATTGTATACTCCACCGTGGGTACCAAGCCATTGATTGTCATTTCAGTACGCTCTAAAAAGGCAAAAACATAATAGTTATTACACCAAGTTCAAGTACTGAACTAATTCTTCTAAGTCAGCTTCAAGGTCATGAGAAGGAATAGGGTTAAAGAGCAAGTGAAGTCTCACCAGGGCCGACCACCTCAGAGAAAGTAGGACCTTGCCCACCCTTGGGCGTCCCTGTTACTCTATACCCTGTGATGGGACCTGTAGCTGGGCTCCATCGGACGGTCAAGGTATTGTCTTGAATATCAGAAACATCTAAATCCGATGGGGATGGAACACCTGAGAATGGAGAAAAGTAAAGACAATACAGTCACAAGAAAGTTGTGGTAAGCAAATAGTCAAAACCATACAAATAACTTGTATGGGAGCACTTACTTCCACCTGCAGTCCTGTGTGTGATGATGACTGGTGTGCTGGAGGCTGGGCTGTCACCTCGGCCTGTCACAGCATACAGCGTGATGGTGTAATCGGTGTCCGGCTTCAGGCCAGGGATGGTAGCAGTGGACTGTGTTCCTGGAACAGTGAACTCTCTGGGTGTATCTCTTTCCCCTGGGATCAAATGAGGAGGAATCAACTGCATTTAGTTCAAATAACACAACCACAAAACACACTTTAAACCATTTGTCATACCTGTTTTCTCCATGTGTGATCTTATAGTAGCGTACAGTGACTGCTGGGCATCCCAGGAGATGGTGATGCTAGTGGGAGTGGAGGACGTCACAGCCAGGTCAGTGGGAGCGTCGGAGACTACAGAAAAAGAGTCACATCGATCTATCCTCACAAAGATTATCAAAACAAATATTAATTTCTAACTTCTCACCAGTGTTGCTTGCGTTCCAGTAAGTGGTAGACTCTCTGTATTGCGCTGACAGCATAAAATAAGACATTGTACTCTGTCTCAGGGGCTAGGTTCCCAAGAGTGAAGTAATTTCTTGTCGGGGAAAGTCTCTCAATTTTAGGGCGGCCATTCCTTGTTGGCTGATAGCGTAGGCGGTAACCTGTAATGACGGCACGTGGGGCCATCCAGTGCACGGTAAATGAGTTGGTGGAAACATCAGAGAAGTCCAGATTTGTCGGGGAATCCAGTTCTGTGAGAAATGAGGAGAGAAGTGGTAGAACTGATGACTTGATGTGGTAAGAAACCTAAATACCATTTCTTATTTCCAAATACATACTTGTTTTCTGAATACCAGTTACAGGCTCACTCTCTTTGTCATCATAGACGCACACTACTTTAACCAGATACTCTGTGTTTGGCAGCAAGTCTGAATCGAGAAAAAAAACAGAATCAGTAGTTGTGAAACGTGTTTGGACTGTGAGACGCACAACATCCATCTTGTGATTTGTTTCCCTAAAGGGTGAAATAAAGAAAGCATTGGTAAACTCTTACTCTGAAGGATGAAGCTATTGGTGCCACCTCCTACGTTGACTTCCTGAGTGTCATCGTCGTTGTTTTGTGGGATGGTAGCGGATGACAAAACGACTAATTTCGGATGGCTGAACAGAAGGTGCGGTCCATGACACATGCATGAAGTCTGAGCTCACCTCAGGAAAAGTACAGGTTTGTAGGGGCTAGAACAGCTAATCAAGAGGACATTGAGAAAGAATAAAGTCATAAACTAAGTCA